GGTTGAGTTGAAGGTGATGGTCCTTCATCCAGCAAGAAATGTCTGTTAGACAAGCTGAGATGCGAGCAGCTATCGTTGGATAATCAGGATGGAATGAAAGGTCATTGAGACAAAGATTGAGTGCCATCAGCATAGCAGTTATATGAAAAGCCATGTTTCTGAATGACAGAACCTAGTGATGCCATGTAGACAGAGAAGAAGAGATTTAAACACCTATGTCCCCACTAGAAAGTAGCAGATGACAATATTCACTTTCTTCTGGTTCACCAGAGAACAGACTTTACTCAGCTGCTGCAAATTCTATCCTATATCCTACTGATTTTTGGCATAAAAGAAAAATCAATAATTTTCAGAATCAGAATGAGCTTTATTGCCAGGTATGTTTTCACATAGGAGGAATTTGTTTTCATGACAGAAGCTTCCGCAGTGCAACAAAAGCACAGATGATAAAAGAATTAAAAAAATAAAAAATAAAACAAGTAAATAAGGAATAACAATATATAAATTGACAATTGTATGTGGAGGTATATTACAATAGACAGTTTTGTATGTACAGGTATATTATGTGCAAATTTGAGGTGTAGACTAAGTATGTGTGTTAGATAAATAAGTGTATGAGTGTATAATTAGTGTTCCACAGTTATTGTCAAGTGTTCATGAGATGGATTGCCTGAGGGAAGAAACTGTTCCTATGTCTGGTCGTTCTGGTGCTCAGTGCTCTGTAGCGTCGACCAGACGGCAACAGTTCAAAGAGTGAGTGTGCTGGATGTGAGGGGTCCAGAGTGATTTTGCCAGCCCTTTTGCTCATTCTGGATGAGTATATTTCTTGAAGAGAAGGGAGGGTTGTAATAATGATTCGCTCAGCAGTCCGGACTACCCTCTGTAATCTTCTGAGGTCAGATTTGGTAGTTGAGCTGAACCCGACAGTTATAGAAGTGCAGAGGATGGATTCAATGATAGCAGAGTAGAACTGTTTCAGCAGCTCCTGTGGCAGGTTGAACTTCCTCAGCTGGCGAAGAAAGTACAACCTCTGCTGGGCCTTTTTCACAATGGAGTCAATGTGAGTGTCCCACTTTAGGTCCTGAGAGATTGTGGTGCCCAGGAACCTGAATGACTCCACTGCAGTCACAGTGCTGTCCACGATGGTGAGTGGGGGGAGAGCAGGGGGGTTCCTCCTGAAGTCCAGGATCATCTCCACTCTTTTGAGCGCGTTGAGCTTCAGATTGTTGAGACTGCACCAGACAGCCAGATCTTTAACCTCCATCACCGTCCTGAATGAGGCTGATGGGTGTGGTGTCGTCTGCAAACTTCAGGAGCTTGACAGAGGGGTCTTTAGATGTGCAGTCGTTGGTGTAGAGGGAGAAGAGCAGTGGAGAGAGAATACAACCCTGAGGAGCTCCAGTGCTGATTATACAGGTGCTGGATTTGAGTTTTCCCAGCCTCACTAGCTGCTGCCTGTCTGTCAGGAAGCTGTTGATCCACTGACAGACGGAGGTGGGCATGGAGAGCTGAGTTAGTTTTGGCAGGAGGAGGTTTGGGATGATAGTGGTAAAGGCTGAGCTGAAGTCCACAAACAGGATCCTCACATGAGTCCCTGGTCTATCTAGATGTTGCAGAACATAATGCAGTCCCATGTTGACTGCATCGTCCACAGACCTGTTTGCTCTGTAGGCAAACTGAAGAGGATCCAGCAAGGGTCCAGTAATGTCCTAAAGGTGGGTCAGCACCAGCTTTTCAAATGACTTCATGAATGAATGAATGAATGATGCATTTATATAGCGCTTTACTGTGTATTGTTGTACACCCAAAGCGCTTTACAATCATGTGGGGTCAGACAGACTTTACATTCATGATGACAGACATTAGAGCCACAGACCTGTAGTCATTTAGTCCTGTAATTTTGGATTTCTTTGGGATGGGGATGATGGTGGAGCATTTGAAGCATGAAGGGACTTCGCACAGCTCCAGTGATCTGTTGAAGATCTGTGTGAAGATGGGGGCCAGCTGGTCAGCACAGGTTTTCAGACAAGCTGGTGTCACACAATCTGGGCCTGGTGCTTTTTTCTTTTCTGCTTCTGGAAGACCTGGCGCACCTCGTATTCACTGATTTGAGGTGCAGGTGTGGGGGAGAGGGGGGGTTGCAGGAGGTGTAAATGGTTGTGTGGAGAGGTGTTCAGAGCGGGTGTGGGGTGTTTTTTCAAACCTGCAGTAGAACTCATTCAGATCGTCTGCCAGTTGTTGATTCTCCACAGTGCTGGGGGATGGTGTCTTGTAGTTGGTGATCTCTTTCAGACATTTCCACACTGATGCTGAGTCGCTGGAAGTGAACCGAGTCCTTAGTTTTTCAGAATAATTCCTCTTTGCCACTCTTTTTGACCCATACAATGTATTTTTTGGCTATTGCTACAAATATGCCCCAGCGACTTAAGACTGGTTTTGTGGTCCAGGGTCACATATATATGTTTCATGCTTGTTTGTTAACATGATAGACCGTTTCTACAGTATCTGACATCATGTTGCTGTACACAGACAGATAGCCTATCATGTTAACTCACATGACATACAGACGGCAGGGTCCCAGCGTTGCACCCAGAACACACATGGGCAGACCAGTATGTGCAGCTTCAAACAATTTCACAACAACCTCACCTGTGGGTAAGAAATAACAGGAACATTTTTCACGAGATGACAAATGCATGCTATAATGCATTTTGTATGTACCAAAAAAATCACAAAAAGTATTTATTGATAATGATCTAGGGCAGGGGTGCCCAACCCCTGGAGATCTACCTTCCTGCAGAGTTCAGTTCCAGCCCTGATCAAACACACCTGTCTGTAATGATCAAGTGCTCCTTCAGATCCTAATTAGTTGGTTCGGTTGTGTTTGATCAGGGTTGGAGCTGAACTGTGCAGGAAGGTAGATCTCCAGGAACAGGGTTGGGCACCCCTGATCTAGGGGATTCATTGTACAGTCATGGCCAAAAGTTTAGGCAGGGACATACATTTTGTGTTTTGCAAAGTTTGCCGCTTCAGTATTTGTAGATTATTTTTCCAAACGTTTTGATGGTATACTGAAAAATAATGATAAGCATATCATAAGTTTTAAAGGCTTTTATTAGCAAAAAAATACAATGAGTCAATATTTACAGTGTTGACCCTTGTTCTTCATAACCTCCAAAATTCGCTCTGGCATGCTGGATATTAGCTTCTGGGCCAAATCCTGAATGATGGCGATCCATTCTTGCCTTATTAGTTTTCAGAGTTGATCACAATTTGTGGGCTTCTGCTTGTCCACTCGCCTTTTAAGGACTGACCACAGGTTCTCTATGGGACTGAGATCCGGGGAGTTGCCTGGCCACGGATCCAAAATTTCAATGTAATGATCTTCTTCTTTATCACCCTTGCTTTGTGACATGGTGCTCCATCATGCTGGGAAACGCACGGATCATCACCAAATTTTGATACCATTCTTTATTCATGGCAGTGTTTTATGGCAGAATTATGAGAGAGCTTGGTTGAAAAGCAACCCCACACATGGATGGTCTCAGGATGCTTCACTGTTGGCGTAACACAGGACTCGTGGTAGCGTTCACCTTTTCTTCTCCGAACAATCGATTTTCAGAAGGGAGCTTCATCAGAAAAAATAACTTTGCACCAGTTTTCTGCTGTACAATCCTTGTACTTCCTGCAGAATTTCAGTCTGTCCTTGACGTTTTTCTTGGAGAGAAGTGGCTTCTTTGCTGCCCTTCTTGACACCAAGCCATTGTCCAAAAGTCTTAGCCTCACTCTGCGTGCAGATGCTCTCGCACCAACCTGCTGCCATTCCTGAGCAAGCTCTGCACTGGTGGTGACACGATTCCGTAGCTGACTCCTCAGGAGGAGACGGTCGTGAAGCTTGCACTCTGGGACGTCCTGAAGATTTCTTCACTGCAGTCGAACCTCTCTCCTTGAAGTGCTTGATGATCTGGTAAATGGTTCTTCAGGTGCAATATTCTTTGTAGCAATTTCCTTGCATGTAAGGCCATTTTGATGCAAAGCAATGATGGCTGCATGTGTTTCTTTGGAGGTAACCATTGCTAACAAGAACACAATCAGTCTGCTCTTACAAACTATTTAGTATGATAGTGATTTTCCCTGACTTGTACTCATTCACACGTGCTGCTGATATGATTATTTAATTAATGTTAGCTGGTCATTTTGTGTCAGGATAAAAAAAAAAAGTGAAATTAGTTTTTTGTGAAAAGTAAATTTTTTGGCCAATGAAGCTTTTAGCAATTATTTAAAATGCATCTGATCACTCTACACAATAATCTAGAAACAATGTGAATGAACAGTGAACACCAAAACAGCTGTAGCAGCAAACTTTGCAAAACACAAAATTTATGTCACTGCCAAAACTTTTGGCCATGACTGTACTTCAGTGGCAAAATAGTTCTGAGGCAGCATCATATTTACACAGAACCAAAAGCTTTTGAGGGAGAGTTATATAGGTATACACACAACAAGTGGAAATTATACACATCTGAAAAGTGGACATATTTTGTTATTGCATCAAACGGTCACCTAGCATATTGGTGGGCATACTAAGCAAGGTATGCAACAGGTCATGGACCTCACGATAACGTTGCATGACATGCTAGCTCCTCATCGTCCACAAACTTTTCATTCAGCTCTTGAGTCGGGGTGACTCTCTGAAAAAAGTTAAGATGACAATGGTTAATTTGACCTATTGTTATTGGCTATTGGTGTGTTTTTCATTTGTCTTACATTTTCTTCTAGGAAATGCAGATACTCTCTTCCTAAAGTCCCATCTGGCAAAGCAGACATTCGAGTGAGGTCTAACGTAGACAGACGGATTCTCGGACACTCTCTAGAGACAAAATTTGAACATAAAGGTAGTAGTAAAGTTTGGATAATGAATGATGATTTAACAGTAGTCAGAGTAAACAAATGAGACATACTGAGAATAGTGTAACCTTCAGGGTCATTTTTCATCCGATTCCTTAACTTGATCAGGGCCTGGTGCCCTGTGGTTTCCCCAAGCACTGCAACCATATCTATTTTGGTAAAACATATCAATATAAATGAAAGTTTTGAATCATGGGGATTACTGACAGAATTCCAGCTCACACGATTTAGAAAATATTATCCTCGGCATAAACAAAAACAGCTTTGGGCCTGTTAAAGCAGGGTGTTTGGTTACAGTTGGCACCTAAGCTTATCTGCAAATTCCCCATCTCTTGTGTTTGTATTAGGGCTGCACGATAAATCGATTCGACAGAAGCTGCGATTGTCATGCGTATCTTTCAGTGAAGCACGGTTCTGTGAGCAGCAGTAAATCTCCATCCAAAGGTCAGAGGGCGCTCTCGTGCTGAAACTCCAAATACGCCTCACAGAAGAAACCCAGAAAATGCCTATCGCTGCAGCTGAATAAACAGAAGATTCAACTGCTTTCATTAATTCAACGTGACTAATAAACACACGACTACGGCAATATTTATCTGCGTTCTTATTATTATAATTTTAAATATATAAAATAAAGTATATTTATAATGCAATGCCTTTATCACTGCTTAGAATACTATGAAATATGTTGCGTGCCTTATTCTGTGTAAGAAGCCACATCATCTCACAGAAGGATTTATTTCAAACACTCGACAGACGTTATGAAGTGAGTTTGGAGTAAAAATATGTTATTAAATGTGGTATTTTCACATGCTTTCAGATGGAGCAGCATTTACTTCACAGAGCCGTAGTTCACTGAGAAGCTATGCAAACAGCTAGTAGTAGCTAGTAAATTCTGCTCCATCTGAAAGCACGTGATGATGATTTCCTGCTGATAACAGAACTGGCTTTTTTAACAAAATGCGCATGACAATCGCATTCGATTAATCATGCAGCCCTAGTTTGTATATTAAATAATTTGTCTACTTTGAATGCACGTTCAATAATTGTAACTATGTAAAAATAAAACTGTCTCCATATTTTACCATGTTTAAATCCATTCCACAGAATTCTGAAGGTTTCCCTAAAACAGGTCTGCAGATTACATTTAGGTTAAAGAGTCCAGGAACCAAGAAAATTAATGTTATAGTAAAAAGTTGGAATTCCTGACTAACTCTTTCTGGCCTGTGTTATTAATGAAACCTAATGACAGAGTTTTTATTTATTAAATATCTTTTTCACCAAAACAATTGTGGACTTTCCACCGAGACTGAAAAATAAACTAACAGCTGTTATTTAAAGAAAATTTCTTCAGGAAGCGCGGTCATCACTAGAGTGACACCATGCGAAGGTTACAATCAGCCTAATATTTAGGCTAACATAATGACTATTAAATAACAGCCTCGCCATGTCTGTTGGGGCTCTTCAAAGCAGCCACACCAGAACCTAAAGCCAAAACAGCCTTCTGTACAGAACTTCTTGGGATATGACTTGGATACAACCTTCCATTGTACTGCTTTGAATCTGAGCTTGTGTACTGAGTACTGAGTGCAGGAGAGAGAGTGATAGCTCTTTAGGTTCATATCCTGAGACAGCAATCACAGTAAACAGACTCAACTACTCTAAATCCATAGTACTGTGATTAACTATCACTCCTGCAACCTTACTCATCATGACAGTGCCGTGCACAGACATTTTGAAGGACAGTGGCCCAAACCAAAAAAAGGGCACTGGGGGGATGGGTGCTTGTTAATACACATTATCCAGTTGTTACAAATCTAAAATCAATAGAGAAGACAGCACACTCTGTAATAATTTCAGACTTTATTGTAGATGTTTTGATAAGAATGGGCTCTCCCTCACTCTATGAGCCTGCTTCTGCCTCATCTTCAATGGAAGTAGGGGAGAGTGGGGTAAGTTGAGCCAGTGGGTAAGTTGATCCAAGTTGTTTCTTGGCAACTGTACACTTTTACTGTAATGTGACCATGTATTTTGGAACCACCCATCATTTCTGCCAGACTGTATTAAGGAGGAACACATGGGGGGAATGGAAAGCACCCATTTACTTTAAAAACTGTTTTTGGCTTGTCAAAGTAAAATTTTAGCATAAGAGATGTAATGGTTGTTACATCAAAGCAAATTTATCCAGGTCTAAAAATATTTATGATACATATAGGTGATTTAGCAACATATAAATCCATGCAAATCATTTAGCTAAATATTAGCCTGAACTGGTAAGCAACAGTAGCTCTTTCTTCCAAAATGGCAGCTATGGGGCAAAGTGAGCCAAATGCTGTGGGGTAAACTGAGTCAGCATTTTAACTTATATAATATTGAAATTTAAACTTCATTTGGTTGGTTTTATGCTGTTAAAGTTAACTTCATGAAAAGAAAAATGACTGTTTGTAAAAGGAAATTATGAAATTATATTTTTAATTATTATTTATTTCACATGGGTTTGAATCAGATTTGGTCAGATGGTCATTTTACACCCAGATGGTGCATCTTACTCACTGACTTGACTCGGGTCAACTTACCCCTAACCCGGGGCAAACTGAGCCATGGGAACACTTTTTTATAAGAAGCCATATTTTTAGAACCCTTTGTCATAGATACATTCTGATCATTTATAATGATAGGAGTACTTTTGATAGGATAGGATACTTTCATTGTACTTCAGCATAATTTTAATTTATCCTGAGGACCACAAAAGTAAAAAATGGCTAATCTTACCCCACTCTCCTCTATAAGTATTAGACATTTAATTTAATATTTTACAGCATAAATCTATATTATATACTAATAAACTTTTATTTTTAGAACATTTATATTATTTTTAAACTATTTATAGGTCTATTTTTAATAAAATATGATGTGTTATAGATTACTAGTATCAAGACAAGTGATTATAATGGGAAATATTGCAACTCTTACGACCGTATTTCAGCTCGGTTTAGTAAAAAAAAAAAAAACATTTTACTTACTCTCTTGTAATTCCAAAAGAGGTCATTATTCATTACAGTAATGACATTCGGCGGATATGCTAACTGTCATGGAAATAATTTCACTATGTAAAAAAGTAATTCTAATGGTCTTAAAACACGCTTAATTTTCTTTATACAAAATATATCTTAATTTTTTTAATTTTGGTCTTAAATATGATAGCCTATAATGATATATTACAGTGTATCCTACTCTAAGGCATGAACTTGTACCCTCAACAGCAAGGCGGTTTCTGAGGCTACATTTTGTAGTAAATTAAGTTTAAGCTTCATGACCAGTGTTGGGGGTAACTCATTAATGCGAGTTACGTAATCGGATTACTTTTTTTCAAGTAACTAGTAAAGTAACGCATTACTTTTTTAATTTACAAGAAAATACCTGAGTTACTTTTTCAAAAAAGTAATGCCAGTTACTTTGTTTTCCCATTTATTGACTGACAGCTCTCCTGTCCCCATATTGGGAGAAATCGGAAGTGCAGAGGAGTTGTGTGCGCTGTGTGAAAATGATGTTACTGTAGTTCTAGACTAAATGTGAATGTGCATTAATTCATCCCACTCACAAAAAAACAGATTAAGTATTCATCAAAATGAATTAAAACAGTGAAATGCAAACTCAGAATATGAATATAACCTGCAATAGTTAAATGTTAAATAACACAAATCTAATCACATTTTATTAACCAATGTCTTTGCTGCTGACCTTTGATGATCCAGTTCAACCATACTAATAAGCAAAAATGACTTTAGATAAACTAACAATTGTGCTTCATTGTTTTTTTATTGCTGAAGAGTGTTTCTTCTCCTGCGTTCTACTGTACAGACGTGATTTTACTCTTGCTTCAGCCTGAGGTTTATTCAGTACACTTTTTGGTGTAAAAGGGCTTTTATATTTGCTATTAAAAACAATCAAGCCCTGCTTATATTTAAAAAGTAACGCGAAAGTAATATAACGCATTACTTTCCATAAAAAGTAACTAAGTAGCGTAATTAGTTACTATTTTAGGGAGTAACGCAATATTGTAATGCATTACTTTAATAAGTCACTTTCCCCAACACTGTTCATGAATGCATTTTAACTGGCACATTTTGTAGTTGATGCTAGATGACAGATCAACATAAACGCTTTCACAGTAACATTAGTAGCTAACATTACAGGGCCTGTCCACACGAACGCTGTTATTTTTAAAATCGCAGCTTTTCTACGCGGTTAGGCCGTTCGTCCACACGCAAACGCAGCACCAGGTTACTGAAACCGAACATTTTTGAAAACGCCTGCCAGGGTGAAGATTTTCAAAAACTCCGATTGCAGTGTTATCGTGTAGACAGCGAAACCGGAGTTTTTGGCTTGTGACGTCGGAGCCGCTGTTATCTCCGCCTACTGGAAACTTTTTCAGGCTTCTGATTGGCCAACATGGCTTTACGGTTGAGATTATATCGCCACCTATTGGTTTGGCATGCTCTTGACAGCGACTCCTAGCATGCGCATGTGTTTTCATGTGGACTGAGATTTAAAAAAAAAAAAACGGAAGAAGGAAAAACTCCGTTTTTAAAAATACCGGTGTGCTTGTGGACATGGCCTAAGCTACTAGCAAGGGGGGAGAAGCCAAGATGGCGCCTTAAGCACTTGTTAAGGAAAACCGCATGATATAAATTGTTTGATATAAAGCGACCACTTAAATATTACACCTATAGTTAAATGGGGTTGGCTGTCACCTCTTAAACATAATTTGTGTGACTAAATGGCAACTACAGATCGGAAAAGGGATAGAAATCAGACAAAAATCGAAGTCTAGTACAACAGTCATGTCAGATAGGCCAACCGTAAACTTGCTGGAGGAAAACTTTCATGATTATATATCGGCTGACGAAGAGTTTCCCCCTCTGCCCATCACTCCCAGCAAATCACCTGCACCAAAGAAAGGTAAATCGTTGCATTCGCCCACCTCAGCTGCTGCGATGGAGACTTCTGACATAGCTCAACAACTCTCGCAGCTCATTAACTTAATAATTAGATCTGATGCGTTGGAGAAACTGATCTCTGATAATACTCTACGAATCGAGGGGCTCAAGAAAACTATTGACTTTGCATATGCTGAGATAAAGGACATTAAGGAGAAATCTGCAGTCCTTGAGAAACGTATCTGTAATGACGAGGCGCGCCTGGATTCAGTTGAATCGCGTGTGGCAGAGTTGGAGAGCTATTCAGGAAGATGGAATCTTCGTTTATTCGGTGTAATAAACGAAGCTGAGGTCAAGCGCCTTTACTTCAATAGCTCGTTCAGAAATTGGAATGCTATCCAGGACAACTCTATCATTTGAAATAAATTTGTGCAGTCTAAGACCACCTGAGGCACACAGTTGTCGAGCTTCTCTTGCTACCTGGATAGCTTCTTCTGTGCTGACTACACTGGTGACACCGTCATCTACATAAAAGTCTTTTGTGATGAATTTTGAGCCAAGAGGATACATACCCTCATTCTCCTTAGCAAGATGCTTCAGACAATAGTTGGCGCATCCAGGTGATGAGGTTGCACCGAAAAGATGGACCTTCATGCAGTATTCTTGTGGGTGTAAAGCTAAGTCTCCGTTTTTCCACCAGAGAAAACGGAGGTAGTTTCGATCTGCTTCTTCCACATGAAATTGGTGAAACATCTTTTCAACATCGCACATAAGGGCAATGGGATGTTGTCTGAATCTTACAAGAACACCAGTCAGATTATTCATTAAATCTGGGCCTTGGAGCAAGTGGTCGTTGAGGCTGGTTCCCTGGTACTTGGCGGAGCAGTCGAAAACAACCCGGAGCTTGTCTGGCTTCTTAGGGTGATACACACCATGATGAGGGATGTACCACTTCTCTCCATCCTTTCCTTCATCATGCACTTCTTCTGCATCACCTCTCTCAATAACCTCTTCCATAAACCTCACGTAGTGTTCCTTGTACTTTTCATCTTTCAGCAATTTACTTTTAAGATGATTGAGCCTTACAATGGCAAGCTGCTTATTGTTAAGCAAATGAGGTCTCCTTTTGAAGGGAAGAGGCATCTCGTAATGCCCACGGTCATTCTTTCTTATGCTTTGCTGCAGTTTGGTCAAGAAGAGGATGTCATCCTGTGAAACAGTTTTATTATCTTCACAAGCGTCTTTGAAGTCAGACTCCAATACTTTAATAACATCTGCTGGGGTCACTGGAGGGAGCTCTTTTATGCTGACTCTATGGCAGATGGTGTTGAAGCTTTGTGATTCATGGTGTGAAGACAGGCGACCAACAATGCTCCATCCTAGATCTGTATGGACTGCATAAGGTTCATCGTCTCCTCCTAAAATCACCTGTTTTGGTGCCAAAGCCTTTGGACAGCTGTAGCCTATTAGGAGACCAACCTCACAATCCTGCAGAGGTGGAATTTTATCCACTATTGTAGAGAGATGCTTCCAATGCCGTGCTGTGTCACAAGTAGGGATATGAGTACGGTTCACTGGAATGGAGTCCTTAGTGTAGGCAGGGGGCAGGTTGAGGACAACGGAGGAGCTGTACCCTCTTACTTTGAGACCTGACACCCTTTCACTCGGCATGACAACATCCTTTGCGGTCATGGTTGTCAACTTCAGTCTCACAGGACAGGAGTCAGCTTGTAACTTGATGCTCAGCTCTCGGTCGACAAACACAGTATCACTCTGGGTGTCAAGCAGAGCATACACAAGTTTTTCAGAGCCTGGATTCCATTCGGTTGACACCCACACTGGCACGATCATTGAAGTATTGGTGGATGGCTCATTGTTCTCTACTTTGTGAGACGTAGAAGTAATTGTCACCGTGTCACCTTGGTTTGAAACTGTAACAGAGTTGACTTTCTTTGTATAGTTTTCATCATGTAGGCACGTTGGATGTCTACCTCTACAGGTGTCACAGGACAGACGGTAACGGCAGTCTTTTGCGCTGTGGCCTGGTTTCATGCAACCATAGCAGAGTTTGTTATCCTTCACATATTTCCGTTTCTCTTCTAATGATTTTTCCACAAATTTTGGACAGTTGTTAATTTTATGCATGTTGTCCTTGCAGAAGAAACACATTTTGGAATTCCCTTTAGTGGGCTTTTGTTCGTTTTCGTAATTTTGTTTATTTTCCATGGCTGTTTGAATGTGAAAGACGTTAGCCCTGTTCCTTTTACTGTCCTTAAGGTTCCATTTTTCTGAAGTGGGGTCAGAGGCACGAAGAGCGCTGAAGGAGGTGACAGGATTACAAGCAATCTCTGCTTCCATTGACATGAAGGTCACAAAATCTATAAACTTTGGAAAGTCATGAGTCTCAATCAGTGTCTGCGTGACCTGACGGTTCCAACGTGCTGCTGCCCAATCTGGTAATTTGTGTACAAGTTTCTGATTTTCATCACAATCATTTAGTATTTCAAGCCCTTTGACATGAGGCATAGCTTGATGACATGCATTCAAGAAGTCAGAGAATTCTCTGAAACCTTCAGCATCCCTAGGCTGAATCTTAGGCCATTTGGCTAGTTTTTCCCTGAATGCCTTCTGTATGACAAATGGCTGTCCATACCGTTGGTTCAGCTTGTTCCACGCATCATTATAAGCCTCATCATCATTCCTGTAGAAGATACCATCAAGAGACTTACGAGCTGGACCACCAACGTACCTTTTTAAATAGTGCAGCTTGTCAGCGGAAGAAATGGCCTTTCCATCAATGAGCGACACAAATGCAGCCTTCCACTCAATGAACTGTATAGGATCACCGTTGAACACAGATGGTTCTGTTGTAGGCAGCCTGTTCAGAGCTATGCTATCTTGGACAGCTTGAGCGAGATAAGTTATATCAGATTTTGTAGGTAAGGATGTTGCTGTGATGTCAGTAGGACGCGTTGCTGTGATGTTGGTAGGGCATTGAATAGGAAATGGAACCACATGCTGTTGTGGCATTACACTTACATCCCGCTGTTCCCCTCTACTTGAATCTGAAGAATGAATGCTGTCTTCTTGTACCATTTCTTGATCATAGGCCTGCAGTCTGGCTCTAGCTGCTTTTAGATCCTTCTCTGCCTTTAGTTTTTCCAGTTCACACTTCCGAGCTTCGATCTCTTGTATCATTGAGTATTCTGCTTCTTTGGCTGCTAATTCAGCTGCTGCATCTGCTCGCTTAGCTGCAATGGACATAACTGTAGACCTTGACGATGTGGGGCGTGAGACTGTGGATCCGTAGACAGAGCGAGCATAATCGTGATGGAGTAACTCACGAAGACTGTGTTTTACATTTTCTCTGTCAAAGTCCTCAAGGCATGCCATTCTATCAAAAATTATCTTCGAAATATCTTTTGTTACAGCTTCACAAGTATCAATTCTGCGTCTAGTGTCACTGGATGGAGCGATGTAATCTCTGATGTCCAGGTAGACATGCATGACATCATCCCTTCCCTTCTCAAGTGTATTAATAAGCGCTACCAGTTGGCTCTCACTAACGTCTGTTTTTAGCTCTTCCCTTGTGTTGCGAGCCAGGTCCTTCCATTGTTCGTACAGCTGAATCAATCTTTTCTCCTTTTTCAGGGCCTCACCTTCTTTATATGCACGCATCTTTTCTGTGGGTTTCCGTTGTCGACCAGAGCGGTGAAGCTCCTCCTCTTCCGTTCCATTATGAGGGGCTTCCACGTGCTGGTCTGGTTCTTTATTTTCAGAAGCATC